CTATTTTTCCCACAAAATTAACTTTCATTTCAGCACAATCACAAACAAACAAAAATAAAAAACTCTACCTTTGTGTTTGTCTGCCACAACCACCTCCCTGATCTCGTGTGGTTAATCACCAAATTGCATCTCCAGAAAGCCAGCTCGTATTCCTTGTACCTCAGCTTCTCCGCAGACGACATCCGATGACCCGACCGCAGAACATTCTCTGTGGCCGCCTCCTCTCCGGCAAAGTCATCCGGGCCACCAAGTCCATTTGGATTACTCGTAGACCAACGGCGATGTCCGTAGACGGCAATCCTACCCTCGGCGTCGAGCACGAGCGCGTACTTGCCTTTCTTGGACTTGGCCCCGCTTGACCATAAATCGTAGTGGACGCTGCGGCGGACGACGAGCTCGCCTCGCTGGGTTAGCGAAAGATAGCAGTCGCTGCTTCCGTTGGCGGTAGCGTTCGTGCTCCAAGTCGGGTTGGTTTTGTTGTAGACAACGAGGCGGCAGTTGTGATGCAGTGCGAGAAGGTGCGGGCCGTTGGTGAGGTTTTGACCGGGCATGAGGATTTCGTCAGTGTAGAGAACGTGGTCGGCGAGGGAGGAGGGAGTTTGGGTGAAGAAGGAGAGGGGGAAGAAGGAGAAGAAGAGGAAGGAGATGAAGGGGATTGCCATGAGAGAAGGGAAGGGTTGTTTGTATGGTGTTTGGTTGGGTGGATGAAGTGGATGGGGGGAGGAGATGTGGCGTTTAAAGTGATGAGATGGAGAGGTGTGGACAACGTGCGGTTGCGTTATTGCATGGGATGCCTGATGGCAATAGGAATAATTAAGTTCATAATGCTCGGTTGGGGTCGTAGTACATTCCCCAAAAAAATAATTTAAAAATAATATTTTACACAAACCAATTTGTTTGATTTGTGTTGAATATTTTTTGGACATGCTGTTTCGTATCATTGATGAGTTTATGCAACCCCGAAGAGATATATGTTAGAAAGAAGTGGAAGAAGATGGTAGATTTGTTCTCATTGTTTGAATTCATTATTTTTACAATGAGTACGTCCCAAGAATAAAAGATTTGATTTTGGAGAAAGTGAAGTCCCTCTCCTCCCCACTTTTTTAGATGGGTGGATGCTTGTGCTTCTTTGATGGCCCACTTCACTTTTCCCCCATGCCCGATCTCTTACATAGAGAAAAATAGGAAAATTTAAAATTTTTAGGTCATATATTGCAAAGTATGTTCATGATGTCCAGATGAATGGAGAACGGCGTGGATGTCAGATTGATCATCAATGATCATGGAGCGCCAACTCTTTGACGTTGATCCTCGCTATGGCCATTTTTCAATCCTGAGGACCAGCAGCAACGCGAACACAATGAACTGGACTGAGCTCTTCTTGACTCTTGGGAATACATTTAAGTGAAACTTCAACTGATCACTTTAGCGAATTAATCTTATAATGTAGTTCGACAAGTCAATACACTACGTAGTCTCAATGGACATGCTAGATTGAAGAATGCATGTTTCACACCTGACAATGAGAAATGAATCATGTGATCTTTCAGAGATCAATTATTTATAGAATGGGCCAAGAAGGCCAATTTACCATGTCGTTGGCCCATGATGACAAATTATTTACAATTTGATTTAAATGTCACTCCTATTCACTCAATTAAATCTAATAATTTTTTTTCTTGATTGTTTTTATCTGCATCTTTCATGATCTTTTATATATAT